CAAACCAAGAATACGAAAGACAATGAAGAGGAAATAAATCTATCAGTCAGAACCTTACGATAAGGAAAATTCCTGTTCCAAAATACGAATTATTTCTTTTCACTTAAAAAAACTGAATTACAATGTATTTTCTAGAAAAGATAGACATCTGACTACATTAAGACCTAAAACAATTTGTCATTCCTTAATAGTCTGAATGCTTATTTTTAAAATTATACTTTTCTAGAAAAAGTATAAGTGCTTAAGTAATACTTAAGCAGTACTAAGAGGAACAAAATTTCTCTAAGGAGTTTCCTTATTTTAAAAAATTTCCAAGCTATATCTTTCTTCCAAAAACCCACCAACTCAGAATATTTTTGCCACATTCTCAGGTTATATAATCATTCTAACCTTAAGTTATTCAACAAGAAGCTTTCTTTTTTTAAGATTTTATTTATTTATGCTTTAAAAAAAGTGAAAGGCAGGGAGAAATATGGGGAAAGATATATGGATGTGCAAGAGAAACATGGACGGCTGCCTCTCGCTTGACTCAATCAGGGACCCAGCCCACAATCCAGGCTTATGCCCTGACGGGTAATTGAACCAGTGACCTTTCAGTTCACAGACTGACACTCAATCCAATGAGCCACACCAGCCAGAGTTATTTTTATTTTTTTACTGTATTTTTTTCTTTACTGTTTATTCCCCTTATACTCTTCCACCACCCACATTCAGGCATACTTTTAAAAAACCCACAACATTCTAGATGCAAATTTGTCTTATGTGAGTACATAAAAAAGTATATGTGTATGTAAAAAGGAAGTGTACCATCTGCCGATAAGGAAAAAAACTAAAGAAAGAATACTTTTAACTGAAAATAATTTGTTTTCATTTCCAATCAGAACATACTAAATCCATAGAGAAAACTTTGATTTATTTCGTTTTACAGGTTATGGAGTTGTTGCTGGTGAGATGATGTCCGCAGTACAGTTTCTTCTAAACTGTGCACCAGTAGTTAACAAGTGGCAAACACCATTAAAATTCATGACATACTGTTAGTTTCCAACCATCTCAAATCATTCAGAAACCTCTTTTTTGTTGAAGGGGATGGTTTCTTATATGGGGAAAAATAAAGTCTGTCTGCATGTTCACGTTAAAACTAATAAGATGATTTCCTGTTGGAAAAATTCAATCATGTGATATCCCAACTAAGAGTCTTCATTTGGGGAAGGAAAAAACCTTCACTAAATAGAAAAACCTTGAATCAAATGCCATCACTTGAATTAAACGATGACTTTCTCTATTTCCAGACCAGGAACTGTTGTAAAATACACCAGGGCAATTTTAAGCCACTGGTTAGATTCAAAGCACTTTGGTATAAATAATAAACAAAAGGACACTAATATTTCTCCTCTCAGTGAAGTTTAGATAGGAAAATGTTGCAACTAAGTACAACATACTGAGGAAAGAGGTCATGTAAACATCAAAAATGTATTTCCTTCACTTAAAAAACAACTATCAAAAATACATATTTTTAAATTATAAATCTGAAGGAAATGACTACATCTTTTCATTTCAGATACTGAGAAATTTTAATACAAATGTTTATACCTGTAGGTAATACAGAATTTTCTGCGATGATATCCAATTCAGTGGCTACTAGCCACAAGTGGCTATTGAGCATTTAAAATAGGGCTAGTGGGAATAAGGAACATATTAGGTCATTAAATAACTTAAGCCGCTTGTGCTAGAACTACTACATTGGGCAGTATGGTCTAAGGAACTAGAGGGAAATATTTGTATCTTAAATTCTGAATCAAATTGTAAAACGTCCTGTCGATAGCTATATACATAGATGCTTTGGAGATTTAAGTTTATTTTTTAAAACATACTTGTGATTTATATAGAAGAAAGTTACATAGTTATATAACTCAACATAAAAATGTTGCATTTGTAGGAATCAAGTTTTCTATACTGGTCTTCTAGAGAGGACCAGAACACTGGTTCACAGGTTGGCTCCATGTTTAATTTCTTAGGGAGCTTCCAAAAATATGGACACATGGGTATCACACCCCGCCCCCACCCCCGTCGCCATGCCAAAAATTCTGGTTTCACTGGTCTGGGTTGAGTCCTGGGCATCCTGGGCATGAAAATATTTCAAGCTACTCAGGTGATTCTAACATGCAGCCATGCAACTAGAAATAAAAAAAGGAGACTGTTTATTAGGCATAGATGCAGCTAAAAACATTTCTTTGTTTGTAGATAATACTCAATTTCTTACACTGAGTGCGAAACTTTAACTCAGACTATTTAAAGTCCTATATTAATTTACTCATTAAAAGCTATGTTTTGAAAATCCAGTTCCTGAGTTGTTCAACCCATCTTAATTTTCAACTTGAAAGAGGAAAATTCTCAGAGAAAAACTGGGAAATCCAGAGCAATGGACCCTCACCTTTCCCCATCAGCACTGATCTTTCTTTCCTGGGACCCCACATCTTTTCAACATTTCAGGCCCCTGCTTTGTCAACTGACATTAACTTAAATGAGTCACACTTGGTTACATCAGAAGCCAGAAAGAATACCTTCAACACATTATTCTAATAAATGGCATAAAGTACATGTCAAAATAAGAAAATATTGACAGGAGTAACTCCTAAATACATGGACTTGGAGTATTGGTAGTGTTTCTTTCCAATTTTAAATGATACTAATTACAATGTAATAATACCATAAAAATATCTTGTAGTTTATTTAAAAGTTACAAACTGTCAAAAATGCAGAAGCAGTGGCAGTTAGCCACCAATAGTCCTTTTCTCCTCCAGGTTTGGAGCTGGGCAATAAGATGGGCTGGAAAAATGTGTGCTCAATTGATACAAGAGAAGCTACAATGCTCTCCCATGCCATCCTTAACCTATTGAAAATGAAACAAGGATTCAACCTGTTTTTCTTAATAAAGAACACATAAATTCCATTCATTTAAAGATCGACACCTATCATCTACTCAAAAATAAATGATTCTCAATAAATTTGAGAATAAATGATTCTCAAATTCACTTCCTGCATTTGAAGCATGCCTACAGAAAGATAAGGTAAGTATTTACAAAGTTTGACTCCTATCACAGTATCAAAATCTATCCTTTAAATTGACACTGGTTTTAATGGTCTGTGTACATGTGTTACTTGTGACAAGAAAGGCTACTTATAAATATTTTTGGATGCTGGTAATCACCCTTCAAAACATAAACAGGCTTTACATGCAAGTGAAAATTTGGGTGGGACAAATGTCAATTCAAAAAGCAATCCTACAGGCCCTGGCTGGGTAGCTCAGCTGGTTAGAGCATTCTCCCCATACGCTTTGGTTGTGGGCCAAGGTTGTGCGTTCAGTCTCCGGGTAGAGCACATACACGAACCACTCAATGCATAAATAAGTGGAACAACAAATCCACATCTGTCTTACTCTCTCTCTCTCCCCTCCCCACCGCACCCTCTCTCTGACACCAACAAATTAAAAATATTTTTAAAGACAATTTTACAGAATGGTGAAGGAAGTCAAAATTCCCCCATTATAAAAGTGAAAGACTATAAATCAGTCCATTTTCCTAACAACTAACCTTAGTTATTTTTCTATGTTTAATACCAGCTTCCATCCTACCTTCTGCCCCACACATATTCCCACAAAGCCTCTACAACATCAAAGATAGAACACAATGTTACTATGAAAAAGTTTGGTAAATTTAGGACTGAATGATAAAGTATTCAATTTGCCTCTGTATGAATTTACTGAATCAATATATGTGTGCATTTCATCTTAAAATGATAATGATATTAAAACGAGAAATAATTTGTATCAAACGAGTACCACAAGGAACCAATGAGCATGAAGCAAGTTTTCACTTAGACCCTGGGAACCCAGTCTTCAAGAATTTGGGAAAATATCAATGCTTGTTTCACAATACAGCGACCTTCATTTCTTCCCTGTCCTTTAGTAAATTCTGTGGATAAATTTAAACATCTTTCTAATTAGTTACCAGCGCCTTCACCCACAGATCAGGTGTCCTACATTTTGTTTAGGTCCCCGCCTTGAAAACAAACCCGATTGCCCCATTTTCTGAGAGGTAAAATCAGCTCTGGGCAGCTCCCTATGAAGTCACCGCGTTTGTTGTTTCAAAGATGCAATTAAACGAACATGACACAAAGCTGTCTTAGAGATTAGTTGGAAGTGCATGGAGGTGTCGATCGTATATGTGTAAGGCCAATGAAACTTTTATTGCTTGCTGTGTAAGTCTATTTCAGTGGTAATACATTTTTTTACCACTCCCCCTCCTCCAATACATTCACAACGGGAGGAAATTAAACTTCATAAGAACTTTCCTGACTTTCCCAAACTTCAGCTTTCCGCAGTACACAAGCTTTCGGAGAGCGGCGGGGGCAAGGGCAAGGGGGGAGGGGCGGCGGTTACCTCGCGCCCGGAGCACAGCAGTGAGCGAGCCTGCTTCAGGCGGCGTCTCTCCCCCTCTGCCCCCGCAGCCCCCAGTCCTCACCACCCCGCCCCCTCTTCCCCGAGTCCTTACATATACACATTCTTCTGGGCGGGCTCTAACCACAAAGCATGTCCACAATCATTTACAAAAATTAGAAACAGACTCCGGGAGCCCTTCCCTTAGCACGCACAGAGCAGAGCTAGACTGGCACGATGGGACGATGTCACTCCCCATTACCCCACGATCTCTTATCCGCCCTCTGGGGTTTCATTCCCAGGAATCTGGCCTTCTTCCACGGAAGAGGGGGATCTACTTACTTCAGAATGAAACTTCAGCTCATCTTTCCCCTACCCCCACTGTAACATACAGAAACATACCACCATGAAAACCAAAGGAAAGTTTCTTCCACTAAGGCGACAGAGGAGCTGGATTTAGGGGCTGGAGCAAAAGCAGAGAGATGAGGAAGAGGGCGAGCGCAGCGCACGTAGCTTTGCACTTCTGCACATCCAGGCCAGAGCCCGGGGCCGCTCCCGTCCTTACCCGCTCGACTGGAGACCGGGTCCTGCTACCAGAGCACCGGGCGAGGGCTGCGGGGACGCGGCGTCGGGGCGCGCCGCCGGCAGCCGCCGCGGGCGCGGAGAGCCACCACCTCTTCTTCCCCGAGCGGCAGGGGGAGTGAGCCGAAGGAGCTGGAAAACGAGCCTGGGGAGGGGGGGAAGAGGAGCAGCATCTCCTCCTCCGCCACACCTCGGAAACGCCCCGCCAGCGGCGACACCAGCCGACCGCGGGACCCCGGACGCCCGCGCAGCCGCTCCGCGCTCCCGCGCTCAGCGCGCCGCCAAGGGCTTCCCCAAACCCCTCCGGCTCGGAGTGGCTCAACTCCTGCAGTCGGCGCCGAGTGCGGCGGGGGCGGCTGAGACCCGCCGTGGAGCCAGAGCGTGCTGCTCGCCTGCACTACCGTCTCTACGGCCAGTGACCATGATGTGTCACCCTCGCCGCGCCGCGGCAGCGGGAGCTACTGGCACAACTTCTGTCCCACCTCAAGCGGCGCGCCGGCCCCGCCCTCGTTTCTGACACTCAGCCTTTTCCGGGCTCCTGAAGGGCGGCCGATCGCCAACGCTGCGCTCCCCAGGCCTGATTCGTCCGCTAGGCCTCAAGCCCCGCCCCCTCCCTTGGGACTAGGTCGCCGGGGAGACCTGCGCTCTGGTTCCCTTGACAACCGGTGCCTTGGGCCTGACTTTTGCGTTCTTCGGAATAGCTAGAAGCTCAGGTTGTTGGCCTCCAGGCGAAGTTCTTAGCCCAATTTTAGGCTACGTTGACAATGTAGCAGACCGCCTCCTCAACCCACTTGCAAATTCAGCAGAACTTTATGGCCCTGGGGCCTGAGAGAGAAAAAAAAAACGCCTGATTCTCTTCCCCAATCAGTTTAAAGAACCCCTCCCCCCTTGCCCTCTCTTGCCTCCAGTCCCGTTTCCAAATTCCCACCGAGCGGATTGGGCTTTGAAGGGGCGAGCAGAAAAGCAGAGATAAAGAGCAAGGCTGTGCCTGCTCCCTGCAGCAATATAGCAACTTGGAAGTGGCGGGGTCAACGAAAACAGAGAACAGCCCTGCGAGTTTTCCCACTGTTGTAATCTTAGAAGGTGTGGTGACAGCAATCCGTCAACTCAAAATGCCCTCTGCAAAACCCAAACTCTCATATTTTTGAAACAAATATGTAAGTTCTTGCCCAGATATTTTTCCTCTGAAACTGAAACAATCTTACAGTAAAAATTTAAGCAAATATTTAACTTAATCTAATAAAATAAAGAACGTCTCTTTTTTCTATGTGGGACTACACATTACAACTTGGCAAAGGTATGTCCCAGAAGCTGTATCCCTCCTGCAAGCTAAATATTTGGGTTTCAGCTATTTACAACGATGTCGTGCTGAATTCATGAGTAAACGATACCTTGGCATTTGAGTTTCAATAGTTTGGGTTTATTCTCAGAGATACAAGGTTACCTAGTCCACTCTGGGAAGGGGGTCTGGGAGTAAATTTAGTCTTGGAACCCAGGTGTTGGGCCCTAGATAAATCTAAACTCATCATTGGCTCTAAAATGGAGACATTAGAGACAAAGTTAAAAATGCAATCGTAGGTTCCCTAGCCGCTGAGGCCGCTGTGCACATGTGATGAATGAGGGAGTTAAGAGCAATGATCTACCTTTGGCCAGCACTTAATTTCACAATCTCGTTTATTAAACGAATAACTGTGATGGATGTCTTCCATTGAACTTGCCTTGCTAGTCTTCACTGATTGTGTTTACCCAGCGTGCTGAAACACAATGGGAGATGTCCAGCAGAATTTTAAGGTGAGTTACCTGCCCTCAAGGAGCTAACCACAAAGCCTAAGGGGAAAAAACTTGCACTCTTAAACCAATCTGAAAACAATTATAGATAGAATGTACAATAAACTTCAAGTATATTAACAAGTCTGTGGTATGTGGAATGGGCTAGATTAGGTTATGGAGGGAGGAAATTTAAACTGGGTTTTGAAGGGTAGGTAATGGGATAAATGAATCAAAGGTGAGGAAATGAATCAAAGGTAAAGGAAAAACCATAAAACCAGAGAGCAGGAAGAGTGGTGGGAGTAAATAACAATGAGAAAACCAGCCTAGCTGAACTGGAGACGGAAGTGGGGGCTTGGAGTTCTTTCCCCATTTTCTGATACAGGAGTTTTGAAATGTTCTGGTTCAGGTATCAAGCTGGTAAGGAAGAGAGGGCGAGATGGGTTTGTGAGAATAAAAACCACAGAACATCTGTGTCTGTCCCAGAAAGTTCATATATTTATTGGAAAGAAAAGCAGTGTTCATAAAACTTGGAATAGCTTATGAATTCCTGTCAGAACGTATAAAGAGTATATGGTGTTGGAAATTTTCACAAAAGTAGACGGTGTTGTGAGCACTTATATTTTCTTTCTTTTTTTTTTTTTTTCTCTAAGATCATTTCCAATGCTTGCCCTCAATGGTTTTTTTACTAGTAATCCTTCTGTTTTGCATGAGCTGAAAGGCTGGTTTTTAAATAAGTGACTGTGATACCAAAACACAATAGAGAGTACACAAAAGAGAAATCTACAGGTTAATCTCCTTTCAGATATGGTAGAAAATTAAAATACAATATTAACAAATAGAACCCAGAATTATAGTACAAATGATATGCCAATTGACCTTTGCCAATTTTATAGGAACAATGCTATCTCATTACAAGTGTATTTTTTGTTTCTACAATGAGTATATTTTTGTATGCTTAAAAGCCATTTTATTTTCCATTACCCAAAATATTTTCCCATGGTTTCTTCTAGAACTTTTATATGGCTTTTGTTTTTACATTTTATTCTTTGATTCATATGGAATTTATTTTGGTGGTTGCAACAGCTACCCAGTTATCCTCCAAAATCATAGAACAATTTGTAAATGACTACATAAAATATAAAGCTTCTATACAGTAATAAAAACAAGAATGAATAAGTAATTTACAAAAAAACAAATTCAGAAAAGCAATGAATATTTGAAAGTCAAGCAAATGTATAAATTAAAATTAAAGCAAAAATGAACTATTGTATATAACTATCAAATTGGAGAAATATGTTTAAAGACTTCTTTTATGTGCCACTGGTGAAAACATGTAAAGTAGGTAATGACCCTCGATTATTCGTAGGATTATAGGTTAGCTTGTTTGTTTTGGAGGTACAACTGCAAAGTCTTTCATAATATGTAATATTTACTCTTTTAACTTATTGCATTTTAGAAATTTAGCCTAAAGAATGTTTACATATATGCCCAGAGATATGATCATTCATTGCAATATTGCTGGCAATTATAACATTAAAAAAATAGATGTCTGTAATAGTGAAGTGATTACATACACTATGGTCTATTCAAACATATTACCTAGGGACAAAATCACATTGCAGTATAGTGTGATCTGATTTCTGTTCAAAAGTTCATATATCTATATATATGACACTATTCATGCCATAAACAATGGTTTCTCTCAGGATTAGAATTACAGAAAACAGTGCATTTCTGAAATTTTTTTATTTAGAATCTTTACAAATAAGTGTTACTTTTATTGTAAAAGGTCAACATAGATTTTTACTACTAATAATAAAGAAATTAGTGACAATTACATAAATTTAACTGGGTTCCCAAGTGGCCCATGGACCTCAGAATGCTCATCTCTTAGGAACCATACTTGTGACACTCTCTAAATCAGCAATGTTTTACATGGGACCCATGGATCACCCCATAATGGACCTCTTGAAACTATATTTCAAGTATGTGTGATTATACATTTTTCTAGGGAGATCACCTGTATGTTTCGATAAATTCAGAAAGGGTTTTATATCTCTCCAAAATGTTAAGGTTGTATTGTTTAAATGTCAATGATTTAGAAATACCACCTTTACCTCAAAGGCTGAAATGAATTCTGGGCTAATTAAGTCTGTAAATAGCAATGTTTTCCCAGCTGGCTTCTTGTGTTCATCTCAATGTGAAATATTTGTATTCTGGCTTGTACCAACCATGTTAGTGTTTTCCCCCTTTAAGCCCAGAAACATGTTGTTATCCTTCCTTGCTAACAGAGTAAGGACTATGATGGGAACTTTGCCCAGGTGAGAGCAGAAGCCAGATAAGTAATCCACCAAAACATGAGCAGGTAATTGGAGCACAAACTCTGACGGTGCTTAAGGAAGACTTTGTGAGGCAGTGCTAACACTTCCAAGTGGACCAAGAATTAGCTAGGGGAAAAAAATGCAGCGATGGAAACCAGATAGGACTACAATTACCCTCAGGTCCATTGAATAAACAGGTTATTTTCTTTTGGTAGTAGCTGAACTCTCTTCAGAATGTGAGAATTCCCCTAGGACGTAGAGTTACATGACAGCAATGGCACAGATAACTCTAAATATTGGGAGGCAGCCTGGTACTCAGGACAATGAAAGAGCACAGCGTATGCATTCAAAAGACCCAAGTACAGATCTTGGCAAGCCACTTAACTTCTTTGAGCATCATTTTCCTCATTTATAGAGTGAAGGAAATAAGAATAGCTGATAATAGCCAGTCATGTTCTTTCAGTAGTCAATAGGATTAAATGAAATATGTAAATGAAAACTATAAATTTAAAGCATTAGTTTCAGAAATCAAACAACAGCAACTAAAGTTGTACAGATTTTTAGAATTACTGTTTTAGACATATTGAGAAACTTTTCTTCAAATAATTTCCTTTATTCTGAAGAGAAACTAAAATATATATATATTAGGTACCAAGGCTAGCTAGTCCTATGAAAGGTTAAGTCAAAAAATTTTAATTGTGGTGCACCCCTAGTTTTTTGTTGTTGTTGTTTTGTTTTGTTTTTTGCCAACCAAAGATTCTTAGCTTTTTTCCAATTTTCCCCTACTGACCCCAAACTGACCAGGTCTTTTTAGTTACACTGAATAGGGTTGGCAGCCTGTTAGGCTAAAATCATTTATCACTTCCTATTTGATTTGCCAGGTGCTTAATCACTCTACCTGAACAAAAATATTTCTCTTGAATGCTTCTGCTGGAAATTCTCACTTTTAACCCCACCCCCTCTCTCTTCCTAAAATCAATAAATAAAATTTAAGAAGAAATTTTCGCTTTTAGTTACTAATGAGTTAAACTCCAAAGGTGTTAACTTTAGAAAGTGAAGGGTAAATTCATTTTACCTTTCAGCTTTTCCTCTTTGAACATTAATGTAGATGGGTTTATCAGATTAGGTGGTTGTCACTTTAAACCCTGAGGGTGAAAGATACGGGAGAGGTAAATTTTAATTAATGACTGGGAAGGAGGAGAGAGGGAAAGCTAGTTTCTGCCTGAATAGAAGAAAAACAGGAAGAGAGGAATTTGGTAGTGAGGGGGAGGAAGGTATGCAGTATGAGGTTGACCCTCAGGGCGATGATACCAAGGGTGAGGATCAGGGAAGTGTGTGTAGCACTAA